GCTTAAAATAGTGTGCAATATGACTATACAAATTAAACATAAAATATAACTTTGTAAGGCCAGGCATGGCGGCTCGCGCCTATAATGCCAGCACTTTAGGAGGCCGAGGCGGGTGGATCACCTGAGGTCAGGAGTTCGAGACCAGCCTGGCCAACATGGTGAAACCCCGTCTCTACTAAAAATACAAAAATTAGCCGGCCATGATGGCACACACCTATAATCCCAGCTACTCAGGAGGCTGAGGCAGGAAAATTGTTTGAACCCGGGAGGTGGAGGCTGCAATGAGCCAAGATTGTGCCACTGCACTTTAGCCTCGGTAATGGAGTGAGACTCCATCTTAAAAAGAAAATATATGTATATATAAACTTTTTAAATTTTCTTGAGTTCAAAATATATTTAGAAATAACGAGCCTATGTACAATGACAAGAATAAAATTAAAATAAGGACAAGAATAAAGTTCAGATCTTTAAGATAACTTAAATGATATATTAGGTTGGTGCAATTATAACAATTAAAAAATCAATGAAGATAATTCTCACAAAATAACATAACAAGTGAAAACATTTTAGTTATTTGTTTTTGTTTTGTTTGAATTAGGGTCTCGCTCTGTCACCCAGGGTGGAGTGCAGTGGTGCGATCTTGGGTCACTGCAACCTCTACCTTGCAGGTTCATGCGATTCTCCTGCCTCAGCCTCCCAAGTAGCTGGGACTACCGGCACGTACCACAATGCCCAGCTACTTTTTGTATTTTTAGTAGAGATGGAGTTTCACCATGTTGGCCAGGCTGGTCTCAAACTCTTAACCTCAGGTGATTTGCCCACCTCAGCCTCCCAAAGTGTTGGGATTACAGATGTAAGCCACTGTGCCCAGACATGAAAACATTTTAAATAGACAACAAAAGTAAAATTCTAACTTTGTAGATTTATGAAAAAATTTTGAATTTATATGACAAAACTTTAAATGCCAAGAAACTTAAAAGCCAAGACAGCGTGACACTTTAGGTTTTCAAAATGAGAGGAGGGAATATATATTTGCCAACCATCACCCTGATGGTAATTTAAGCACTTAGTTTGATTCAGCCTCTAAATTCTTTCTTTTTAATTTTTAATTTCCACAGGTTATTGGGGAACAAGTGGTATTTGATTATAAGTTATGTAGTGGTGATTTGTGAGATTTTGGTGCACCCATTACCTAAGCAGTATACACTGCACCCTATTTGTAGTCTTTTATCCCTCACTCCCTTCCCAATCTTTTCCCCTGAGTCCCCAAAGTCCATTGTGTCATTCTTTTGCCTTTGCATCCTCATAGCTTAGCTCCCACTTATGAGTGAGAACATACGATGTTTGATTTTCCATTCCTGAATTACTTCACTTAGAATAATAGTGTCTAATTTCATCCAGGTCATTGCTAATGCCATTAATTCCTTCCTTTTAATGGTTGACTAGTATTCCATCATACATATATATAATGGAATATATATATATGTGTATATATATGTACTCACACACACACCACAGTTTCTATATCCACTCGTTGATTGATGGGCATTTGGATTCGTCCCACATTTTTGCAATTGCAAATTGTGCTGCTATAAACATGCGTGTGCAAGTATTTTTTTCATAAAATGACCTCTTTTCCTCTGGGTAGACAGATACCCCAGTAGTGGGATTGCTGGATCAAATGGTAGTTCTACTTCTAGTTCTTTAAGGCGTCTCTACACTGTTTTCCATAGTGGTTATACTAGTTTACATTCCCATCAGCAGTGTAGAAGTGTTACCTGTTCACCACATCTATGCCAACATCTACTATTTTTGATTTTTTTATTATGGTCAGGCTCTAAATTCTATGCAGTCAATTAATTCTCATCGTGACTCTATGAGTCCAATGCAATCGCTATCCTCATTTTTATGAATGAAGAAACTAAACCTCAAAGAGGAAACTATAGTAATGTGGGCAAGGTCAGACTGGCTAACAGTAACAGGGTTATATTGGAACCCAAGTAGTGTGTTCTCAGGGCCTGTCCTCTTATCCGCAAGATACTTCATTGAAAAATCCTATTCTTCCACAAAGCAAGTTAATTAGGATGCTTGATAAAATAACTACACCTTTTAATTGCCTTCTGGAATGGCATCACGTAATTCACACTTGCTTTAAATATCAAGGACAAAAGGAAATCATTAATGAGTGACCTAGAGAACTGTTCTTATGTTCTTTTATGCTTCATTCTACCTCCCAGGGTTAATACTGGGAAATGAAATGAAAATATCCCAATTCTTGCAGGATCATTTGAAATGCTGGATTTTTTTCTGAATTTAAAGAAGCTTAAGAGAATCAGTGCTCTTACAGATGTGACCCATCTCAGAGAGATGTTTCACCTTCCTGTTTTTTAAGATTCAGGTAGAAATATAAAAGCAGTAAATCAACTTGGGTATTGAATCTACTTTTTAAAAGGCTAAATGCCAAAGGCATCATTTTTTATACCCAATTGCCTTGATGGCTTCCTGAGACACATACTTGCTCAGTGACTACCCTAATCTATGCTACCTCTGTAGGTACTGACTCACTCTTTGCCTAATTTCAAACTCTTTAATCTACCTGGTATGTCAGCCTGAGACCTAGCCTGATCTGATCCCATTCTGACTTCTACCCAGGATGACATCCTGTCTCTACAAAACAAAAACAAAAACAAAACTAGCTAGGCATGGTGCTGTGTGCCTGTAGTCCCAACTGCTTCAGAGGCTGAGGTGGGAGGATCGCTTGAGCCCAGAAAGTTGAGGCTGCAGTAAGCTATGATCGTGCCACTGCACTCCAGGCTAGGTGACAGAGCGAGACCCTGTCTCAAAATAAACAAAAAAATAAAGACAAATGATCTCATTAAAAAATAGGCAAAGGATCTGAATAGACATTTCCCCCAAAGAAAATACACAAATGGCCAATTATCTCACAAAAAAATGTTCAACATCATTAGCCATCAGGGAAATGCAAATCAAAACAATGATGAGATACCACTTCACACCCACAAAGACGACTACCAATCAAAATGACAGATAATAACAAGTGTTGGCCAGGATGTGGGAAAATGGAACCCTCATACATTGCTGGTAGGATGTAAAATGATTCAGCTGCTTTGGTAAATAATGTGAAACTTCCTTAAAAGGTTAAACATACAGTTACCATATTGAAACAGGAAAAGCTCCCTTTTCCCCTCTCAGGACGTGCGATGCGGGTGTGGCTTGCTTCTTCGGCGCTCCGCTGCTCAAACCTCTAGAGGAGCAGACAGAGGGGGACAGGCTGTGGGGTTCCAATCCCATGGCAGTATCTAGGGGTGAATGTTTACAGCTCCTGAAGCCCCAGTGGGTGTGTGTTACAGGGTGCTCTTTTAGTTTACCGTCTATAGGCAGCTTGTGTTAGTCAGCTCAGTTAGACCCTCTACCCTGTTGCAAGGACATAGGGGCTTTCTGTATCCCCGGGTTTCTTGCCTCGGTGTACTGAAAGAATCGGATCACACATGGGCTTGGAGAATGAGTGTGAGGTTTTATTGAGTGGAAATAGCTTTCAGCAGATGGGGGAGCCAGAAGGGAGACGGTTTTCCCCTGGAGTTGGGCCGCTTGGCGGCCCCGGCTCTCCTCCAACCGCCCCAGCCAAACTCCATGTCGTTCTGCTAGTGCCAATGTGCTCCTCCCGATGTCCAGTCGCTTCTGTCTCTGCCTTGCTAGGGTCTCGGGTTTTTATAGGCACAGGATGGGGGCGTGGTGGGCCAGGATGGTCTTGGGAAATGCAATATTTGGGCGGGAAAGCAGGAGTGCCTGTCCTCACCTAGGTCCATGGGGATGGAGCCCTAGCCAGGGATCACACCCTTCCTCTACCCAGCACTTCCTCCTTCCATATTATTTAAAGGTACCACTCTCTCTCTTCCCAGCACTCCTGTATCAATGTGACCCAGCAATTTCACTCCTAGGTATACCCAAGAGGCATTAAAACATACGTTCACACATAAAAACTACACAGCAAATATTCCACCAGCATCATTATTCATCATAGCCTAAAAGTGGAAACAACACAAATGTCCATCAATTGATGACTAGAAAAACAAAATGTGATATATTTTCATCCAATAGAATACTATTTGGCCAACAAAAACTTAAGTTCTGGGCACATGCTTATAATATTGATGAACCTTGAAGACATTACACTAAGAAGTCAATCACAAAAGAAGCACATGGTTGCAGTACCTATTTCATATTGAAATATCCGGAATAAGCAAATCTATAGAGACTGGAAAGATTAGTGGTTACTGATAGCTAGGAGGGTGCTGGGAATGAGGAGTGATTGCTAATGGGCATAGAGCTGCTTTTGTAGTGATAAAAATATTCTACTACTAATGAATACACAAAAACAAATTTTAGAAATAAACAACGCAAACAGAATCATACCATCCATCAAAGACCCATCTATATCTAGCTGTGTTCTTTTTTTTTTTTTTTTTTAGATGGATCCTTGGCCTCGTGCCACCCAGGATGAATGTGGCAATGGCCACAATCTCGGGCTCACAGCAAACTCCACCTCCTGGACGTTCAGTGAGCTCTCCTAACCTCAGCCTCCGTAAGGTAGGCGGGGAGCTCACAGGGCATGTGCAGCCACAGCCGGCGTAATTTTGTTGCATTTGTTTGGTAAGAAGATGGGGTTTCACCATGCCGGCCAGGCTAGGTCTCAACGTCCTAGACCTCAAATGATCCACCCACCTCGGCCTACCCAAAGTGCTGGGCGATTACAAGACGTGAAGCCACCGTGCCCGCCCAAGCCGTCATTTATTATTTAGAAAAGGGTAGTAAGCAGAATCAAAAATGATGATTCAACATTACGATTTAGCTCGTCTTGAAATAGGGATATTAACAACATGAACATATCACAGGTCTAAAACGAGCCAGACTTTTATAATCTGTGAATTACACACAATAGGTCTTTGGTTTTTTTGTTTTGGTTTCTTCAGAGTACCCACTTTCCAAAGCGTCTACTACAGCTCCAGGATTCTTACTGCCATTTCAAATAACCTGCCAGAGAAAAATGGAGAAAATAAATTTCAAAAGTTGTAATAATAAGTTAGGATATGAAAGCGTGTAAATGCCGAGGTGCAGTAGCTCGGACACCGGTAATCTGCGCGTTGTTGGGGAGGCCGAAGGTGCGCCCGGTGTTATGCCTCAGCGCTGCAGGCGAGGTTGTTGCAGCGCAGCACACATGGTGAAATCCCTCTCGCTTGTACAACAAATGTACAACGAGAGAGATAGGCTGTGCTTGGGGGCTGTGTTGGCCGTGCGTATTCCCACGCTTACTTGCGGGGCTGAGGCTGGAGGATCATTTGAGCCCAGGAGATAGAGGTTGCAGTGAGCTAAGATGGCATCACCACATTCCAGCATGGGAGAAACAGTGAGACCCTGAGAAAGAAAAGAAAAGAAAAGAAAAGAAAAGAAAAGAAAAGAAAAGAAAAGAGAAGAGAAGAAAAAGAAAGAGAGAGAGAGAAAGAAAGAAAGAAAGAAAGAAAGAAAGAAAGAAAGAAAGAAAGAAAGAAAGAAAGAAAGAAAGAGAGAGAGAGAGAAAGAGAGAGAGAGAGAAGGAAGGAAGGAAAGAAAGAGAGAGGAAGGGTAAATTAAATTCTTCCAAGTAATTAACATATGTGAAATCCAGTCACATAACATTTTAGAACTCAGCAGATGTACCTTTGATAAGTGTCTGATTAAAAGTTCAACAAGTGATTATGGAATAAAGGAAGGTTAACACAACAATAAGTGCAAAAAAATCTCAATTAGATAAATCTACCACATGCTAAAAATGTCATCAACTTGACCTAGCTCTACTGTTTGTTGCTGAAAGCCCATCTTGAATCAACCTCAAAGAGTCGTGTTTGACTACCTAGCAAAACATTCTGTATACAACAGATACTCATTAAATGTTAACTGAATGAATGGTTTCTCTTCCCAAGCAATTGGTTGTGCAGAAAAGGAACATAAAAAGAAATTTTACCTATGCGTAACACAAAACAAAAGCTAAGTACTAGCAGCTACACTCACATAGAATAAGAAAAGAAAGAGAGGAGAATCTCAAAAGTTTTAAGTGTATCTTGAAGCACAAGAAAAACATTGTAATATCTGTCTAGCCATTGCCAAATCTTTATATTTTGTTCTTGAAATAAAAGGGCCTGGGATAGGATTGAAATAAAGGTACACCATGCCTTTTCCCCTAAGTTCTAGGCCCTAAGAAAAACAAAACGTTTTCAGCAGAGCTTGATTTCAGGCTTCAAAGTTCTGATTTAAATGGTATTTAAACTTAAACAAAAATGAAAGTGTCTCATATAATCAATTTTTGTCCTACTGACTGGATTTATCAAGCAAATGTGGGTAAGTGAGTTTTTTTGCCTAAATTATTTTAATAATCCTTTCGTTTTACCCATTGTTATGGGCTGAATTGTGTCCCCCCAAAAATTCATGGGATGAAGTCTTAAACCCAGTATCTCAGAATATGACCTTAGTTTGCACATAAGGTCACTGCAAATAAAATTACTTAAGTTAGAATAAGGTCATACTGGGATAAGGTAGGCCTCTGATAAGACTGGTGTCCTGAGGAGGAGTGGAAATTTGAGCACAGAAACTGTTTTAAAAAAAAAAGAAAAGAAAAGAAAAAAAACTTTAGGCAAAATTAAATTTATTTGAGCAAGGAACGATTCATAAACTGGGCAGCACTCAGAACTAAAAGAGGTTCAGAGACCTCCACTGCTGCATTATGGACAGCAAGCTTTTACAGGCTGACATGAAAATAAGACAAAGAAAATACATTTAATTGGTTGGAGTAGAAAGACCCTAGTTAGAGATCATTGGCAGTTTCTGATAGGTAAAGTCTCTAGTTAAAGGTTAGTTGGCAATTTCTTATTGGTAAAATCTCCAGTTAGAAGTTCATTGGTGGCATCTGTTTGGTAAAAGTCTATAGTTCTACTGTTTACATTGGGCTTCAGTTTGCTTACGCAGGAATTTAAAGCACTGGAGCCGCCCCAGCCTAATGACTTCCCCCACCCCAGTCTTTTTTAACAGTACACACACAGAGTGAATGCCATGTAAATATTGGAATTACACTGCCACAAGCCAAGGAACTATACCAGAAACTAGGAGAGAGGCCTGGAATAGGTCTTTCCCTAGTGCCTTTAAAAGGAATATGTCCCTGCTGACACTCTGATTTCAAGAATTGTCGCCTCCAGAACAGCAAGACCATGTTTCTGTTGTTTAAGCCACTCCATTTGTGGTACTTTTGTATAGCAGCTCTAAGAAACTAACATCCATATCTAAGGATTTTCTCAAGTATGATCTTGGGGAGTAAATGATCAACATGAACTGCTTGAACAATGGCTCATATATTCTTATGAGTAATTTGTTTACCCAAATGCCTCAGAAAATTCCACTTTGAATTAAACAGAAGATCCAAGGAAGAGAAAATTTTCACCACCTGCTGAAAGTAGTTGCAGCTAGAGAAGGGAACAGATACAAGGAAGCTAAAACCAACAGGAAGAAAGGAATATGAACCCAAACAACCCATGCAAGAGGACAATTAATTGAGTGAATTTTATAAAATGAAAAAATGGTTCCATGATTTGTTTGACTAGTAATCTCAAATGTACAGCTTTTCAACAGAGCAGAAGTGGCATCTGAAATGTGACTCAGGCTCACTCTTCTCTTTGACAAATCAAGGAGGTTGGAGTTATCTAGTCGTGTGCTTCTATGATTTTCTATCTTAGGGCTTCTTATAAAAATATTTTTAAAGGCTTTTACAGGCCAGACGCAGTGGCTCATGCGGTAATCCCAGCACTTTGGGAGGCTAAGGTGGGCAGATCACTTGAGGCCAGGAGTTTGAGACCAGCCTGACCAACATGGTGAAACCCTGTCTCTACTAAAAATACAAAAATTAGCCTGGTGTGGTGGCAGACGCCTGAACCTGGGAGGCAGAGGGTGCAGTGCCCCAAGGTCTTGCCACTGCACTCCAGCCTGGATGGCAGAGCAATACTCTGTCTCCAAAAAAAAAAAAAAAAAAAAAAAAAAAAAAAAAAAAAAAAAAAAAAAAAAAAAAATTTTTTTTTTTTTTTTTTGAGACAGAGTCTGTCTCTGTCTCCCAGGCTGGAGTGCAGTGGCATGATCTCGGCTCACTGCAAGCTCTGCCTCCCGGGTTCATGCCATTCTCCTGCCTCAGCCTCCCAAGTAGCTGGGACTACAGATGCCCACCACCATGCCCGGCTAATTTTTTGTATTTTTAGTAGAGACGGGGCTTCACCATATTAGCCAGGATGGTCTCCATCTCCTGACCTCGTGATCTGCCTGCCTCGGCCTCCCAAAGTGCTGGGATTACAGGCGTGAGCCACCATGCCAGGCTCTTTTTTACCACTTCCAACATCTAAATGGGAGAACTAAGTTCCTTTAGATTCTGATTATATGTACCAAGGTTATAGCCATTTATTTCTCTCCTCTTTTATCCAGCCAGTTTGGTACATTCTTCATTTAAATTAATAGGTTGTGATTTATAAAAATATTACATACAATCTTAGCCCTTCAGAAAATTGATCTTCATCTCCTCTCTCAACCTCAGGTTGAAACAGATAGGTCACTTTCTGGGCATCAATTTCCAGACCTTTAAAAATGACATGCTCTACTCTGTAGCCTTCCTTCTCCCCAGATCTCCCTTAGTGATATTGTTTGGGGCAACATCATTAGACTTATTAAGGTTAAAACTGATTCCATCTCTAAATTCCAAAACAAAAATATTAAGAGATTGTCAGTGATGACATAGTAATAACATCAATATTCTATGAAATAATTTAGTGGGAAGAGGGCTGGTAATGTTGTGATTATTTATATCACCATGTTATTCACCAGAATGGAATCTAGCTTTTATCACTGTAGCTAAGTAAACCAGGTGTGAGCTGAGGAAACAGTAAATCTGAACAGCCTTTTTATTTTGTTACAGGATTTAACTAATCTCATTTTTTTCATTATTTTTCTTGGTCTAATACAATTTTTTCTAAGGTCCACAGTTTATTAATAATCCCTTTCATAAAGATAATGCAACTACCTCTAACACCTCCAAAAACATTCAGAAATGCTCTCCTTGCTCTAGTTAAAAAATGCCATGGGAGTTCCAAGAATAGGAAACATCAACCGGGGTATTTAGCACTAGATTGACAGAACTTGGCTCAGACCTGCATTACAAAAGCAAGTCTTCCAACTGTGGTTTTGCTTCAAGGCCGACTGCGGTTTTGTACTGTGCTGAAGTGCTTTTGGATAATTTTTTTGAAGGAAATTTACAAAATAATGCTGTAAGAACTGTGTTCTTTATAAGAACTCTTAGGTTACCTTCAGACAACAAAAGCCAATGAGAAAGTCAAGATCACCTTTTCAAATCTCATGCTCTGCTGAATCATAATGGGGAACGCAGAGGGAAAGCTGTTTGTCTCCAGGTACTGATTCAGGAGGTAGACCCCGAGGTACACATCTTGCTTGCCAGGCAGGAACACCCCTGGGCAAGAAATCTTAAAAAGAAAGAAAACAACAAACAAGAGAGAGAAAACAGGCATTCCTTTGTTTTGTTACACGGGGCTCTATTTCTTTTAAGCTCCTACAAACACTGACATTTTCCCCATCACCTCATTCCCTCACCTGTACTTCCCAGCGCCAACGTCCTCCCCTCTGCTCTCCTCACATTGGAAATTCCAATTCCCTCACACGTCTCCACCAGGTGTCACAATCGCGCTCTCGCCGGCTCCTCTCCCCGCCCCTCCAGGATGGTAGTGCGGAAGCGGAAGAGGCTGCAGGGCCGGGAAGCCTCTGTTTAGTCCGGCCTGGTACCGGGGTCCGGGCCGCCATCCGCGATGCCAAGTCCCCGGAGGAGCGTCGAGGGACGGCCGCTGGGCGTCTCCGCTTCCAGCAGCAGCAGCAGCAGCCCCGGCAGCCCAGCCCATGGCGGCGGTGGCGGCGGCAGCAGGTTTGAGTTCCAGTCCCTGCTCAGCAGCCGCGCTACCGGCGTGGACCCCACCTGCGCCCGGCTCCGTGCTTCGGAGAGCCCAGTGCACCGCCGCGGCTCCTTCCCCCTGGCCGCGGCGGGCCCCTCCCAGGCGCCCCCGCCTCCGCTGCCCGAGGAGGACCGCATGGACTTGAATCCGTCCTTCCTGGGCATAGCCCTGCGCTCCCTGCTGGCCATCGACCTGTGGCTGTCCAAGAAGCTGGGGGTGTGCGCGGGCGAGAGCTCGTCATGGGGCAGCGTGCGACCCCTTATGAAGCTGCTGGAGATCTCGGGACATGGCATCCCCTGGCTGCTGGGCACCCTCTACTGCCTGTGCAGGAGCGACAGCTGGGCCGGGCGCGAGGTGCTGATGAACCTGCTCTTCGCCCTGCTGTTGGACCTGCTGCTGGTGGCCTTGATCAAAGGGCTGGTCCGCAGGCGCCGCCCGGCCCACAACCAGATGGACATGTTTGTCACTCTCTCGGTGGACAAGTACTCCTTCCCGTCGGGCCATGCCACAAGGGCTGCCCTGATGTCGAGGTTCATCCTGAACCACCTGGTACTGGCCATTCCACTGAGGGTGCTGGTGGTTCTGTGGGCCTTCGTCTTGGGCCTCTCCAGGGTCATGCTGGGGCGGCACAATGTCACCGACGTGGTTTTTGGCTTTTTTCTGGGCTACATGCAGTACAGCATCGTGGACTATTGCTGGCTCTCACCCCATAATGCTCCGGTCCTCTTTTTACTGTGGAGTCAACGATGACACCATCTCATTGATGATGGCACCAGGAGGTCTGAAGGTTTCCACATTCGATGATGCCAACCTAAACCAGCAGCCATCCCGCTTGTCCCTCTTAGGCATTTCAGGCTTCCTTTGGGATTTCAGGTGTCCCACCATCTTGATGTGCTGCTAGGCTGGAGCACACGCTGGCCATTACTGAACACAGCCATATTAGGGAAAGCAAAAAACCCTCTATTGCATATTTATTCAACAATTGTTTATGTCTCCAGGACAACTGCAAAGAAACCAAGCTGAGGTGGTTATACTGTTGCTGTTAAAAGTTGGTATCAATAAGATTTGTGTTTTGTGGTAATCCCTAAATCAACATACCACTTGTAAACTGAACTTTAAGAAACATGATGTTCATTCTGTAAATATACATGCAGACAGGCCATGTACTAATCCTAGTCCTTTTCCTGAGGTAGATTTTAAACAGTATTTTTAAAGTTCAAGACATAGGTTTTTCTAGTTTATTCCCTGAAGATCTGTTGCCATAGTTGGGACGATTTCTTCTTAATCCTGATTTTCTTGGTAAGCTTTTTTACTTTATTTTCTCTTTATTATCTCTATCCATATTTGTGGATCGGGTAGTGGGAAAAAAGAGATTATAATACTTGTCTTTCTCTCCTCTCCCTCCACCCCTCAAAAGATCTTTATGTGTTTCCCACTACTCCCTGTCTTTTAGCATTCAGAGAAAAAGCCAAGAACTTGCTTAAAGAGGAAACACTTAAAAGGTAGGCATATCTAAGATGCTCATAGAAAAGGAAGAATGGGACATAGCCCCATGCTTATTTCTGTTTACAACCTAACATGGCATGAGAGAGGGCAGAGGAACTAAGTTGCTGGGGAGAGTCAGAGGAACTGAAAGTTTGGGAATAGGCTGACCATATATTATGCCAGTGACCAGTATAACAGGAGGGGCCCTGCTGCCAGTCATCTCCACTGAATAAAGAATAATGCTTCTCTATCAGGGTAATAAAATGGGGAAAGAACATCTTCTCAATGCAAGAACGTAAGCTTTCTCGTATATACCTGTATGCTACAGTTTTTCACATGGAATTCCGTTTTCTGAGGTACAGCACATTTTAGGTAACAGTATTTAACTTGAAATTCATCAGGGGAGTCTGCTGCTGTACCAGGCACAAGGTATAATTCCAAAATTTCTGTTTACATTGATCTTTACATTTAAAGCTGTTCATCCATGGTGCCTCCCCAAATCATAAGACCAAAGACCACCAAATGCAGGGTAGACTCTGCTCATTATTCTTTGACCCAGAAAGACTGGAGAAGGCATATGCTTTAAATACTACTCTACCTGAAAAGAAATCCTTTAAATTACCTATGGAAGTGATGTCCTTAGATAATCTTAATGACTGTTTTGGCATTTATAAATAGAAATTATTATGGACTTTGATCTACCATACTGAGATTCGGATAGGAACCTGGAGAATGGCTGTGATAAGTAGGTTTTGATTGAGTGAAAGCATGAGCTTGTTCAGAGTGAGGGGCACACTGAAAAAGAAACAGCCATGCCTCAAAATCAAATCATTTGCATTCCCACAACATCCTGAACACCGACTACCTCTTCACTTGCTAAAGCAGCTAAACTGTGAAGCTCTAAGTGGGTTGGGTTTGTTGTTTAACCTTAGTGAGATCCTTTGTTTTAACTGCAGCAATATTCAGGCCAGATATTTGGAAGCAAATGATATTTCCTCTTGCGGTGTCCACAAATCTGAGTATGAGGGGCATGAAATTAGGCTTACCATCTAGTTCATAATTACAATTTTGGAATTCCCTGTTTTAGTTGCTGGGGCCTGAGTTTTCTGACTTTTAAAGCATAGATCAATTTCACCTGATGTTTTTGAAGCATCCTAAGTACTGTAGAGTAGAAAACTGATTTCTTTGTTAATTGTACACTGAGGAATGCCTTTTAAAAATCAAAATAAAATTAACCAATAATGGTGAATGAAGTGAGATGAAAACTTGCTTAATTTTTGCCTTGATGAGGAGGGAGACTGATTTATCACTTAGCTTCTCAAGAGTTCCTTCATCTTCCTGCACAATTTTTAGAGCTTAAAACTGGTATAGTACGACTTAATATGGTCTAGCCCTATTTGCTGACAGCAAAGTGGGACAAATCCACCTTTCACACCCACATGTATGATGAAACCACAGCATTTGCCAATTGTATGGAGGCCAACCAGATTCCATGACAATTTCCTGTTAGCATTATGCTTGTAATCATAGCCAGTAGAAAAGCCCCTAGAGGAAAGGTGGCATGACATTCTGTTACTAACTACATGGAAGGATTGGAAAATGGAAACTGAAATAAGAGGGAATGGTAGACGCCCAAGTAGAAACCATGGAGTCACTCTGCAACAGCACCTCACTTAGGAAAGATTTGGTAATTACAAAATATTTGTTGATCGATTGATTTCCCTTTTGGAATTAGCAAGCCAGAGCCATCACTAAGGGGAGAATAGCATAGGAAAATATCTGATTGCTTCATAGAGTTGGCAAATAATCAGGAAGTGATGGAGCTTTTTAAAATTATTCCCTGGTTAAAGAAGTTTAAAATCCGTTCACAAATTTTTATCCAGGAGAAGAAAATAAAATTCTACCTGGACTTAATGCAGGGTTGTTTGAAAATAATAAAAAAAAAAAATCATGATAAAGATAAGAAACATGTTAACTTTAGAACAGGGGAAAAAAAAAGGTGGGAACAGGTGGAGCTGAATTAAATGTTAAGAAGTCAGGGAAAACCAATATGGAGAATCTTAAGGACAAAGGTACGATCTGTCCCAGAAGATAATGATGTGTTTGTGGTAAGTGGAGGATGTGGGGAGGGTTGTTGAAAACCACCTGAGACTATTTAAGAGTCCGACTTGAGGTTAAGGAGGGGGAGTTCATCAATCTCTTACCGCCCGGATCTGCAGCTCCACCACCACCTCCAGAGGCATCGTTCCCTGCGTGGGCGAAAGGACTGGAATGAAAAGATCCTTTTGTGCCGAGCTTTGGACCAATTTTTCTTAGTTTAGCTCAATCCCTAGAGCAAATGTTCCCAGAAGCTTCCCCAGTCCCCATCCCCCTATTACCCCACCGTCCCCCCCAGCCCAGGTCTCTCCCACCGGGACGGGTCTCTCACACTCGAAGCTGGAGTGCAGGCTTCCAGAAGGCGGAAGCGTGGCGTTGCCAGGGACACTCAAACGCGCAGTCTTCCATCGTGGAACGCGCGCGAGGCCCCAGCGCAGACGCGCGTACTCGCGGTGCGCCGCTTGGAGGCGCGGTCGCTGTCCCCCACGCAGTGCCCCCAACTGGAGAGACTGGCCCTGTCTGGCGTGGTAGGCGGATAGAGAAACGCCAATAATCCCAGATTTCTTTCCATCAGTTCCTGTTATCCCCAAGTACCATGTTAAAATGTTTACCGTTTCCATTCTGAAAGTAGAATGAGATCATAGGTCTGTTATAATTTAAATAGTACACATGTTTAGTAGCTGCACGACCCCCAAGCCTAGGAATTTCTGTAACAATTCTCATTTAATATAGTTGTCTGTTCCTAAAAATACTCTTTTGCTTATTAGATGTTATGTTTGCTTCGGAAAACATGGCCACCGTCAATAGCAAACGTGTGCTAATTAGAGACACAAGGTTAATTCTTAAACAGATTTAAAAGTTAGGTACCCCCTGTTAGCAACAATAGAAGTATGTCAGTCTCTCCATAACAGTGTCCAGCCTTTTCTGGGGTTTAGTTTAAGGCAAGCGTTGAGTAGCCCAATGGGTAGTTACTGTATTTGCCATAATCACAGTTACACTGTAAAAACCGTCAGAGGTGGTGGGCAGAGCAAGAGTTCTGAATGGGTAGGGGACATTCACTATATATAATAGACAAAAATGAAGGAAAGGAGCAGGTAGTGGCTCCTTCTAGCAATCCAAAAAATCTAGGAAGGCCAATGCTGTCTCTGAAAAAAAATTAAAAACCCTAAATTGTGTTCAGTCATTTATTACTAGTATTTTGCATTAGAGAGTTATACAATTGGATATAGTGTAGAAGGATGGTCAAGACAAGATTAGGTATTAATTTTGGTAACTGAAGTTTATTTCCCTGGAAGGGAAAAACTTGGTATGATAAAGAAGGGCATATTGTGTCCTTATCCAGTTCCTAGTGCTGTGTCTCTCTGCATACCAAGAGATACAGGTGGGCATCTAGCTACCTATAGTGTCCAGATCATTGATTTGTCACTCACAACTTGCTGACACCCCGAGTGATGTGGGACGGGACCTGTGATGATCCTAACAGGTAGGTCACCAACACCAATGCTAAGAAATCAAGGAGAGTGACAAACAGAACAAATTAATAAATAGCCAGAGTTGTATTGGAAGAGAAGAATCAGTCTTTATTAAGGATCTGCAAAGTGCTAGGGACATTGCATATGCTAATTCATCTCATCCCTATAATAACTCTATCAGGGAGATATTATCCCTATTTTACGATGCAGAATCTGAAGCTAGATAGCCTTTTACTAAAAGCCACAGACCTAATAAGGGAGCAGCCACATTTGAATCCAGGTGTGCCCTACCACATCACTGGGTCTGCAACATAGACATCCTGTTGATCTCCAGAGACACAATGTTCCATCATATGCTCTTCTTAGTCTTAACTCTTGATCTAACTGGTCTCTCCTTGCTTGGCTGCTAGGGCACAGCTCTCTTCTGGTTTCCCTCCAACTTTCTGGCCATTCTTTATTTGTCTGTTTATCCTCCTCTGTCTGGCTAAGCAATGTTTCTAGGTCCTTTCCTTTCCTCACTCTGTACCCTTTACTTAGAGTGTCATCCATTGCAGGTACTGATTAACACATGTACACAGATTTACATATCCCACCAAGACCTCTCTTCTGCTGCCCCTGACAAGGTGGAATCTCAATATCATATCTTATATCATACATATATGTGTCTCCTCTTTGTAGCAACTGCCATAATAGCAGTTCTACATTTGTTCCTGTGACTGTTGATTACTATTTGTCTCCATAATCTATAAACTCTGCATGGCTAAGTGTTTATACCCTAAATAGGATAGAAGATAATAAATATTTTTGAATATTAAATGCAGAGATGGTCAAGCCAATCTGTGGGGGTTAATGTACATGGGTAAAGAGAGGTCCCATCACATGGGGTAAAAGAAATCTGCAGAATTAGAAAGGACCAGGCACAGCTACTTCTGCTAATCTTCTATGGTGATATTAAATGAGTTGATGGGGATACTTCACACTCTCCTAATTGTCCCCACCATGGTTACCTGAGGCTCTCAGCTGCTGTGGAGATGTGGATACCCAATGCCTCTCACTCATCTTGCAAAGTAATTTATCATTGAGGCTGTCCACCTCTGCAGGGGGCCAACAAAGCCTTTTAAGGATTGGACTGTCACCACTACAAGAGAAAGGCTTTTTTAACTGGGTAGGTACCTCTTGGTGGCAGCAAACAGATTTCAATGAACAACCTCTGTTTCCAGAGAGTGTCTGCAGTGCAGCTTGGCCAGTAGTGACATCAGCATTGCAGAAGTGATACAGCAGCACATCCTGTTCACATCCTGGCCCCAGACAAGAAAATGAAACATGCCCCAAATGGGGATTTTCCAAAGAGTAAATTAACAAAGAACAAGAATATGGCAGATAATTATGGCTCAGATTTTTTTAACTAAAAAAAATTAATTATAAGACACAAAAATCATAAATATTTCAAATAATAAGTATATTCATATGAAAGGAAAAAACTATTAAAGAGACAGCACTAATGGGAAGGGTATGGGAAAACACATTGATGGGAGTGTAAATACATACAATGTATTCGTTTTCTATGGCTACTTAACAAATTTAGGGGCTTAAAGCAATACGAATTTATTATTTAATTTTGTGAGAAGTCCAACACAGATCTCACTGGGTTAAAATAAAGGTGCCAGCAGGGCTACATTCCTTGCCTTTTCTGTTTCCTTGCTTTTCCAGAGGTTGCTCATATTCCCTTGGCTTCATGTTCTCTTCTTTCATGTTCAAAACTGGCTACATAGAGCCAAGTCCTTCTCATGCTGCCATCTCTCTGGTTCTCCCTTTCTTTCTTTTTTGTGTTTTTTTTTTTTTTTTTTTTTGAGACAGAGTCTTGCTCTGTCACCCAGACTGGAGTGCAGTGGCACAATCTCAGATCACTGCAACCTCTGCCTCCCAGGTTTAAGCAATTCTTCTGCCTCAGCCTCCTGAGTAGCTGGGAGTACAGGCATGTCCCACCATGCCCAGCTAATTTTTGTCTTTTTAGTAGAGACAGGGTTTCATCATACCAGCCAGACTGATCTTGAAATCCTGATCTCAAGTAATCCGCCTGCCTCGGCCTCCCAAAGTGCTGGGATTACAGGTGTGAGCCACCGTGCCTGGCCTCCCTTTCACTTGTAAGGACCCTTGTGATTGCACTGAAAACACTCAGATAATCCAGGATAATTTCCCTAATTTAAGGTCAGCTGATTAGCAACCTTAATTCCATCTACAACCTTAATTTCCCCATTACCATGTAAGATAACATATGCACAGGTTCCAGGGATTAGGACATGGATATCTTTGGGGGCTATTATTCTGCCTACCACATATAACTTATCCGGAGAGCAATTTGATAATGTCTATTAAACTGTTTAATTTGACTCAGCAATTCCACTGCTAGGAATTTATCCCATGGGTATACTTTCACAAAAATATATGGTGCACAATTATTTCTATTTGAAAAAATACTGGAAACCAACTAAGTGTTCATTAGGTAGGATCAGATTAAATCAGTTATGTTTTAGCCATATGATGGAATATTATGCAGCATGGAAAAAGAATGACGCAGACAGAGCTATACATTCTAACAGTAAATAGTCTATAAAATACAGAGTCAAGAAAATGGCATAAAAATGTATACACTGTGCTGCCATTTGGGAGAGAAGGAGAATATTATATCTACATATATGCTTAGAATATCCCTGAAAAGATATGCTAGAAGGTGCTAATAATGTGTTCCTCTGGGGAGGGACCTGGGATAGGGAGGCAGAGAGGAAGTTATTTTTTCATTGAATATCTTTAGGTACTTAAAAAATATATTTTTGTCAAGTACTTGCATTATTTAGTCCAAAAAGGAAACCGCATTAAAACAAGTAGAAAATGTAAAATAATAGAAAGGATTGGTCTGGGAATATAGAAAGGAGCAGGAACTGACTTCTTCAGCTTTTGGAGCTATATCCTATATGCTGCATGCCATAAAAATATCCATGCAAGTGTGTCTACCACTTCTGCTTCCAGTGCAAGGCTTCCTATCCTGTGATTCCTAGCTATCTCAGGGGTCTTAAACCTCCTGAAATGATAGGCAACATTTCCTACATGTGCATATATGCATCCAGGAAGAGTCTAGCTTTCATAATCTGAAAGAGGAAAGGTTAGTCAAGTCAGGTTTTATGGCACTGTTCAGTGCATGCTGAGTCCTCTTCCTGCCATTGGTTCCCCACCTGAGTTATCAGACAAGCCGACAGGTAAGAAAAGAGGGCCTGTTCTCTCCATCACATCCATACTCCCTTATTAGAGCAAAAGGGCAGCTGTATTTAATAAGAAGTGATTAAAAAAACAAAAAGACCCTCAAAGTCCTATTCTAAGCAATTTGTTTATGTCTGGACTCAACAGACTCATTTGTCAGGCCCTACAATCTTTTGAGCAGTGAATTATTCATTAGCAAGTATGAATAACACCAGCAGACTGAGTTTCCAAAGTGAGTTAGTCATTTGCATTTGTAAGAAATGCCTGAAAAGGAAGAAACACAAAAATGAAAAAACACCCAAGAACATGAAATGATCTGGATTATTTCAGTAGTAATGCATTTCCAGGTCACTGATTTTTCATTTCTTTTAAAGCATGGGCCCAGTCTCAAGACCCAAGAAATAATTGTCTTATATTTGGCCTTCTCTAAAGTCTTTCTCTAAAATTTTCTGTAATAGTTTAGTTTTCTCAAACTCTGATGTACAGAGAAGAAAGTTTTACCTTTCTCACTTTCGTATGTATAAGAAAGCTCAATGAACTACATTGAGTTCGTTCTTTGGTTCTAACAAACTGCCTAAGGATGAAGTATAGCAGGGCGCAGAGGCTCACGCCTGTAATCCCAGCACTTTGGGAGGCCGAGGTGGGTGGATCACGAGGTCAGGAGATCGAGACCAACCTGGACAACACATGAAACCCTTCCTCTACTAAAAATGCAAAAATTAGCGGGGTGTGGTGGCACAGGCCTGTTTCACCTACTTGGGAGGCTGAGGCAGGAGAATCTCTTGAACCCAGGAGATAGAGGTTGCAGTGAGCCGAGATCACGCCACTACACTCCACCCTAGGCAACAGAGTGAGACTCTATCTCAAAAAAAAAAGTAAATAAATAAAAAAGATGAAGTGTGTATATAGTTCATACACACATACATCTATACATACATACATACATATACACATATATAATTTATATATATTAATGTTAATATCCTTTAGGCAGACTTTATATTCTTTGGGCAAACTTTACATTAGCAGAATCTGGCTGTCACCATATGAACTCACTGATCAATTCCAGCCCCACTCTACATCATTATAGGTATGCTTCCCTGTGTGATTTATAGGAAGTACCTGTGAAGCACATTTATCAAGAAAGTTGTAGTTGAATCTAATCAACTACACTGAGAGTTGCACTGTCTGATAATAAAAATACGGTAGCCATTTATAGTTATTTAACTGAACTAAAACTAAATGCATTTATTTATTTGGAGATGGAGTCTTGCTCTTGTCACCTAGGCTGGGGTGCAGGGGCACAATCTTGGCTCACTGCAACCTCTGCCTCCTGGGTTCAAACAATTCTCCTGCCTCAGTCTCCTGAGTAGCTGGGTTTACAGGCACTCGCCGCCACACCCAGCTAATTTTTTATGTTTTTAGTAGAGATGGGTTTTCGCCATGTTGGCCAGGCTGGTCTCGAACTTCTGCCCTCAGGTGATCTGCCCGCCTCAGCCTCCCAAAGTGCTAGGATTACAAGTGTAAGCCACCGCACCTGTCCAACTAAATACATTTAAAATCCAGTTCCTCACTTGCATTAGTCACACTTAAAGCACACACAGCCACATGTTGCCAGTGGCTACTGGTATTAGATAATGCTGGCAGAATATTTCCAACATCACAGAAAGTTCTAATGGGCAGCATTGTTCTAGAGTTAACTTCACTTAAAGGAAACATGGAGGATAGAAAAACATGTTAATGACAACACAAGGAAGCAGGCAGACATATCTATAACAGAATGCGGGACATTCTAGCACGTACATGCAGTCCCAGCTACCTGAAAGGCTGAGGTGGGAGGATCACCTGAGCCTGGGTGGTTGAGGCTGCAGTGAGCCATGATTGTGCCATGCACTCTAGCCTGGCCCACAGAGTGAGACCTTGTCTCAATAAATAAATAAGTAAATAAATAAATAAATAAATAGAGCTGGGCGCGGTGGCTCACGCCTGTAATTCCAGCACTTTTGGAGGCCGAGGCGGGTGACTCACTTGAGGTCAGGAGTTCGAGATCAGCCTGACCAGCATGGAGAAACCCTGCCTCTACTAAAAATGCAAAAAAAATTAGCCGGGCATGGTGGTGCAAGCCTGTAATTCCAGCTACTCGGGAGGCTGAGGCAGGAGAATCGCTTGAACCCGGGAGGCGGAAGTTGCGGTGAGCCGAGATCGTGCCATTGCACTGCAGCCTGGGCAACAAGAGCGAAACTCTGTCTATAAATAAATAAATAAATAGAATCTGGGACATTCTATAGGACCCTAACCCAGTTAATCTGCAATAAGTCAATGGCATTTAAAAAAAAATAAAAAGGAAGAGGTGAGGGAACTGATCTAGATTAAAAGATACTTAAGAGACCTCACAACCAAATGGAATATGTGGACTTTGTTGGGACATTAATTCAAACAAAGCAAATGTAATATTTGAGACTATCAGGGAAATTTTTTTTTTTTTTTTTTTTTTTTTTGAGACGGAGTTTTGCTCTTGTTGCTCCAGGCTGGAGTGCAATGGCACTATCTTGGCTCATCGCAACCTCCGCCACCATGTCCGGCTAATTTTTTTGTAGTTTTAGTAGAGACAGGGTTTCTCCATGTTGGTCAGGCTGGTCTCGAACTCCTGACCTCAGATGATCCACCTGCCTTGGCCTCCCAAAGTGCTGGGACTACAGGCGTGAGCCACCGCGCCCAGCCTATCAGGGAAACTTGATTATGGTTTGGGCATTTGATAACACCAAGCCATTAATTTATATATATGATAATGCCCTTGTGTTTGTGTAAGGCAAATATTAACATTGTTTAGAGACATATATTAAGGTATGTAGTGGTAAAATGATCTAACATCTAAGATTTTGCTTTTAAATATTCCAGTCAATAAATAAAAGGAATAGATAAAGCAAATGTTGTAAAATCTTGATAATTATTGACTGTGAGTGATGGATGAATGGGGTTTCTGTAATTCTATTCTTTTGTGTGTTAAAAAAAATATTCATAATAGGCTGGGCATGGTGGCTGACACCTGTAATCCCAGTGCTTTGTGAGGCAGATGCTGGAGGATTGCTTGAGGTCAGGAGTTCAAGACCAGCCTGGGCAACATAGCAAGAACCCATGTCTACATTTTTAAAAAATTAGGTGGGCAT